TGTGTGTGTGTGTGTGTGTGTGTGTGTGTGAGTGTGTGTGTGAAAAGAGAGATTTTCACCTTCACACTAGACAACACTACCCTCACACTCAGAGACTGTGACAATCAAATTTCAGCCCTGTGGGCAATAGTTCTCTGAGTCTTTATCCAATTTTTCTCTATCAAAAGAAACAATAGGACGAGACAACAGTACAGAAGATGATAAAAATAAAAGTACAAAGTGGCTAGCCGTACAGCAAGACTGCCAGTCTAGCCGTACTTAGATCTAGGTTTGGCCCTATCGACTCAAACCTGGTGAGTACACAGGTCTCATTTGATCTAGATCTAGTCTACTAGTTCTAGTCATTATTCTCAGGTTTAAAATACATGCAAGTCAGTAAGGCACCTTTTGATTTTGTCTGAAATACAATACTTTTTTTACTTTTTAGGCACTGCAAACTAAAAATTTCATTTACAATTCAGCCATCAATAATATTAATAAAAACGGCTAGCCTGATTGTGTAGCCGTCCTTAAGTCAAGCCGTACTTATCTAGACTACTAGATCTACATCCCAAACTGACCTCACAATTTCAACTTGGATCTAGATTAGATCAATGTTGTAGTAGTAAGGACATTGAATCACACAAAAAGTCCCCTTCCACAGGAAATTTACGTTTAGTATTTTACGGTAAGAAGTTTTTCAGTTGAGAAGAAAGTGAGAGTACCACTCCTCCACGAACATGGACAGCTGTCCATCCGCTGCTCTTTTTCCGACTCGGCCAATCTAATTTTGATACCACACCACTCCTTTACCTGCCTAGTCCTTCCCCTTTTCACGATTGTTCACAGCTTCTTCACCGAGATACTACAGTATGACGGACCCGAATCACAAAGAGAGCAATGTGGAACACAACACACGCGAAATCTTTCTGAATCCGCTAACGAAAGTTGAATCGGTCGCCAATCAACGCCGCTTTATTCTTTTTTCCCCATGCCTCATTATTTCGTGTTTTCATGTTCCCACTGCAACACACCCAATCGTCCTTGTTGTAAGCCAAGCGCAGAGCAGCTGTCTTTGTTATTGTCGACTGTACCGTGGCCTACTTAACCCACATTGTTTAAGTGTTCTACTGTGACATTATTGCCATCTTACAGATCAATGTTCCTCATAGATTCCTTTGTGCTGGCTTCTTTGTTGACATCTCAGGCATCCATCACTTAGGCTACACCAGTTCTTTCTCAGATCAGAGCCTCTCACTGGAATCAGGGTCAGATTAGTTCTCTTTGTTCATTGGACATCTCTGGAACTGAGTTTGCTTGAACCGGAAATACAAGTTTCAGTCCCTTTTAAATGAGCTCTTCATTTCAAGAAATCATAAATGGACGAATTTGTTAATAATGACAGGTTACATTATTTTTGTATTAAAAATTTCTTACTAAAATAATAAAGTCAATCCCAAAGCCCGGGGCATTTCGTGCAACGCCCGTTAAAAATAATACTCATATGAAACGAAGTACATTGCATCTGACATCAAATAAAAAGTATTCGGACATTCCACTTGCACCGCTTTTAAAGTTTTACCATTTTTGCGTATGTGTGTGTGTGTTGGGTGAGGGAAGGGGGTTATACGAGGTTTGACTGTAATATAATAAAAATGATTTTTCCTATATTAATTTTTTAACAACTGCCCTCTACGTTTTTAGGGAGCAAATGTTTCACACAGCTGCGGCACAGGATCCTGTAATTTCACAACGTTCGAACATCTCCAGCGATCTTCGCGACGACATCATGACAATGACAGTGTGAACAGCTGTGAAAACTAAGTCGCAAACAAATCTCATTCGTAATTATTGTATCAGCTGACTGCGGTTCCTGAGGTCAGTCACTGGCCAACTATATAGTCCATGAAAGAAACATACGTAAATTTCGACTTTACCGCCAACTCGAAAAAACAAATTAAAAAGAAACCACACACACACACACACACACACACACACACACACACACACACACGAAAACAACTACAATAAACAGCAACGACGACAACAACAATAATTTCTTAAAATACAGTCAAACCTGTGTAAGACAGACACTCATTGTCAAGGAGAAAAGCAGCCGTATAAGTTAAAGACAGGTGGCTGTCTTGGGCAGGACTGATCTTTTTTCTTTTTTTCTTTTTTGTAAGTGTTTTACGGCATTCGCAACTGCAAGAGGTCATATGAGCTTGCGGGACACATTAATTTTTTTTCAGTTGGTAGGAAATTTTGAATGTTGCCCGGGTGGCGGCCGAAGCCTACTCTTATGATTTTAGACCACCACGGGATCTTTAAAACGCGCAACTTTCACACGGGCCCTCCGAGATTTTTCGCCCTTATCCGAGAAGGCTAGGATGTAGATCTTTTTTACCTGAAGATCAGGGGTGTGGCTGAAAGACAGTAGTAAGAAGGAGCCAAGGAGTAGCAGTAGATATTTTAAGGCTGCTGAAAGAGTCAAGAGCCCAGAGGAGGGAGCAAAAAGGAGGTGAGGGTGGGGGTAGAAAGAGGAGACAAAAGCAGACGACAGAACATTGCTAGAGAGCATGAAAGGAGGTGAAAGGAGTTAATTCTAGAAAAAAAATGTTTCGGTTGCTACCTGGATTCGAACCGGGACTTTTGATTGAGAGGCCAACACAACACATTAACCTTTAGGCCACGAG